ATTGAATCCCAATATACTTTGAGTGTCTTTATTTTGCGCTCAATGACAGCTTTGAGACACAAACACAAGCTTCATACTCAACCATGTTCTATGCCCAAAATTCAATCGATTGGTGAAAGGGTAGTGTTCTCTACTAGGTGAGACCAAAATTGCCCCAATTTTATGCCCAAAGCATTTGAAGCACCATCAAAATTCAACTTCTAATAGTCACTTGTAGAAGTAATCACTTCTTCTACTGAGATAACCATCAAATCTTCATCAGGGAAATTAAAATTCAATGACTCATATTCTTTAGAAGCATTGCTTGTAATAAAATCTACTACGACACTCTCTTTAACTGCTTTCTATAACACCCAAATCCGACCCAACCCGAAATTTGAAAGATTTGGATATTACATGGGACCACTAAAGTGGCAATTGCATGTTGTGAGTACTATAAATTATACGCAAATGATGTGCAAGTATACACAACCGCAATAAGTAATAAAGTGACGAGTGAGTATCGTCTCCACAAGGATTGGAGGAAATTATGATTTTGACCATAGCAATACACTAATTTATCTAAGTATAGAAATGATATATATAATGATAATGCTTTGGAAATGGACATGTAAGGGTGAATGGAATGATGGTAAAGGAATATGATTGTGTTGTGGCAAGAGAACAATATATAATGAGAAATGTTAAAAATGTCAAGGCAAAATAAAATGGTAAAAATAGAAAATAAATGGAATATATTGATATTCCTCACACGGGAAACTACTTCAGGAATGACTAGCAGGGAGTCACTTAAGGAGCTGAAACTTATCTCTCTAGCTTATCTAGTCTTCTAAAGCTTTACTTGTTTGACGAAGTTTACTAAAAGTGTTCTCGCTATCTCTAGTCATAAGAACCTAACAGAATAGAATGCCACAACATATCCTCTCAATCTCAACTATGGCAGCTTACACTATTGAATACGCACTACCCATCTTAGTCATTGAAATCCTAGCTTAGTCTATCTCAAGCACTAAGGGATTAGTCTATAGTGATTAACTATATCCCATTACTTATATTAATCATTCTCAAGTTTCTCTCAAATGCTTAAGAATTAGTGACTAGATTTCTCTCGAACATATAGTCTTCATTTTAAGAAATGGACACTCTCATGCCTCCTACAATCATAGAAGATGAAGCACACATAAGCAAAACAAGTAAAAAAACATAAGATAAACATTTATCAAACATTAAAATAAAGTTTCAAATATCCATCAAATGAACCCCATTAAATATAGCTTAGTGCATGATGGGGTTCGAACAAACCATAGAATATACCCAATCGTTTATTCAACCTTACAACCTAAATAAAGTTTGAATCTTTAACAATGGAGTAAGGGTTAGAGAAGAAAACACTAGGTGTGCATAGTCGGTGCTTCCCTCAAACCACCACGAATGACTATAGCGTGAGCTCCTCTCGGATACTACGCCACTCCCTCGAGCTTCACCAATGGAGGAACACCAATAAAAATGTAAGAAGAAGGAAAGAAGAAGACACTGTGTGCATTAATGGAGGTAGAGAAAATGAATAAGAAGATGATGAATTTCCTCCTCGTTTTTCCTCTCTTGTGTGGTGTCCTTTAAATAAAAAATATCTAAGGGTATTATTGGGAATTTTACACTCAAAATACCCATCATACTCTCAAATTCATTCCTTGTGCATGAAGTTTATCTCTATAGGTGGTAGTGGACCCCATTCAGGTAGTTACCAGCAGCATAAATACCAAGACATTGCAATCTACTTCAGCAACAAGTGATTTCACGACATTCTTCCCAGTTTTCCCTATACTCCTTGTTTTCTGCACATCACTAATCAACCACACATTTCCCACCACATAACACCTTAACAAGGTAAAATAACACAACCATCACAGATGCAACTACATGAATCTAAAATTACCTATATGAACCCTAAGATAAATAATAACTCAAGTGAAAAGGCCTTAAAAGTAGCCTTTTTACGGAGTTATCAGTGGCTAACCTTTATATATATGAAAACATTACTCATGGATAAAGTAAAAACATTCATCGTTTAAACAAAACATAAAGTTTACAATATGGAGAGCTCACAAGTTAACACATCAAAATATATTAAGTCTATCAAAAGAGTTACGACTCAATTATACATAAATGATTTATGAAATGCATGCCCACTAAAAATAATCGAGACGTACTCTGAACTTGACTAAATCTAGAATCTGCACGCTGACGACAAGGTCCTTCGAGTGGAACCTAAAGACTTGTGAATAGAAACAAAACATAAAGTTTACAATATGAATAGCTTACAAGTTAACACATCAAAATATATTAAGTCTATCAAAAGAGTTACGACTCAATTATACATAAAGGGTTTATGAAATGCATGCCCACTAAAAATAATCGAGACGTACTCTGAACTTGACTAAATCTGGAATCTGCACGCTGACGACAAGCTCCTCCGAGTGAAACCTAAAGACCTGTGAATAGAAACAACTCTGAACACTGAGCTACTAATGTCACACAAATAACGCAATGATACTACCCACAATCATAAATGTACAAACTAGCATGCATAGTCATGAGGCAAACATGTACACGGAGCATTAATCAAATTCAAGTAATCGTTCACATACGAAGTTCAATCATAAAGTCCATGTCTTGAATAACTAAAGTGCTTCAGCAGTAGTACAAAATTGCATTAGCACTAGTACTAAAGTGTCTTAGCACTATTGAATCCATGTCCAAATATTCACAACACATATAGTAGATAATCGTCATATATTCAAGTGACTCAGGTGTCCTTGTCATTTTCTCGAGTATCAAACAAGGCTTAAGTCTTATGAAATCTTTCTTCGTTGATATCTAGTGTCATCACATAATTTATTATTCTCACTTGCAAGCTTTTAGGGTTTAATACTCGACATTTGAATACTATTCCCAGGTTCCCTAACCAAAACACGACTTTTAGCCCTTGTCACCAGTGAAGTACCGACACTCGTCCAAACAATATCGGTACCAGGTCTCACTATCATAACCAATTTTCGATAGGAAGATCATAATGATGTTTTTGAAAATAAAAAGGTTTTTATGAAAAGATGTGAGTCGCCGTTTCAAGGTGAGATTGGAACACCTAAAATCAGTTATTTTTAATAAAGCATTTTATTTTATAAAAAATACCATGTTTTGGTATGCAAGATCAGAAATGGGGTTTATGAGTTAGTTACACGTAGGGAAGGATTAACACTCTCATAGGGTCCAAAATTTGTACGTAGTCGATTACCCTATATTTTAAAATTGGAAATTTTGAGTTCAAAATTATATTTAATTTAAAAATCACTATGTATGTATATTTTAAAAAGGATGTTGATTTACCAATATTAATAACGACCACCCCAAGCAAAAGCGAAAGCTTTGTTACCAATCCCAATAAATGAACATTGCCTTAATGATTTAGAAATCATAATGTGGGGTTTTTTTTTTAAAGGATGTTGATCTACTTTAGGAATCGATAGTTTTCATCCCTACGAAAAAAAAAATCGGAGATACACTATTAACCCCTAATAAATGAACATTGCCTTATCTTAAAATCAAAATGCAATTAAACAATCGGTTATTAAACCTAATTATACTAAATGGGTTAATTAAAGGCTTCCCTGTAACTTAAATTGTTAAATTATGAATTTTAAAGAACCTATTAAACCTAAAAATGTAGGCTCTGATATTAACCCAAATCAATTTTTGCCATTTATTTGATTCAAATAATTAAAATGGAACCTCAGGTAAAAACGAGGACCAAATTAAAAGTTCCTCTAAATTTAAGGACTAAGTTTCAAATTAAGCCTAAAATTGAGGCTCTAATTATTAACCTAGTCAATTTTAACCAATTATTTGACTAAAATAATTAAAATCGAACCTCGAGAAAAAGCGAGGACCAAATTAAAAATTCCCCTAAATTTAAATACTAAGTTTGAAATTAAACCTAAAATGGAAGATCTAATTATTAACCTAGTCAATTTTAATCAATTATTTAATTTGAATAATTAAAAAGGAACCTCGAGCAAACACGAGGACCAAATTAAAAATTCCCCTAATTTTAAAGACTAAGTTAGAAATTAAGCCTAAAATAGAGGCACTAATTATTAACATAGTCAATTTTAATAAATTATGGAATTTTCAAATAATTAAAATCTTTAGGGACTAAATCAAAAGATATCTAAATTTAGGGAGTAAATTCAAGGATAAGATAACCTAAATTAGGACCAAAATGTTTAAAGTCTAAATCTAAGGGTTTAATCTAAAATCCTAAATTGGCTATCAAGGACTAAATTAAACTAAAATAAAATTGGCTAGCAAAAATTAAAGACAATTAACATACACAAAATGGCTAAATTAAAATAATTAAGAGATGCATAGTCAAAATCAAAGAACAAATATGGTGACTAAATTGGAATAAAAACATAATATAAAGTCCAAACAGCAAGAAATTAAAGCTGGAAATTAACGGACTAAAATGTAAACATTGATAATTTAAAGCATAAATTAAAATAATAGAAATTTAAAGGGCAAAATTTGCAAATATAAAAAATAAATCAATTGAATAAAATTAAAAGTTAGGGGTTAATTTTTAATTGTTACCCATACTATAAATAACTAGAATCATAAATAATATGAATCATAGCTCAGGGCGGGTCACCATAAGGTGGTATTAATGTTTAATGTTAATCAAACTAAAATGGTGGCTACAATAAAATGATTAAAAGAATCAGTGTCAAAATAGAATTAATAAAGCAGAAATAATAGTGACTAGGTTAAAATGAAATAAAATAGTAAGTTAAATTTGCAATAAATTAAAAATGGGAGGTCCAGTGACCAAACTGCAAATCCATGGCAAACTTTTGGGCACCAGTAACGTGAATAACGCAAAACCTATGTATTTAAACTATACTTTTCCATTTTAGGTAAATTTAAACTTTAACCCTAAAAACAAAACCCCTAATTTCAAAAAGCTCTCAACTCTTCCCTCTAACACCATGCAACCGCTACCCATTAACCCAAGCCGACAACACCCCGACCACCGTCCATCGATGGCCTCCTCACTCCGAACGGCCTTGATAATCATCGTGAGAGGCCTAACGGCCCCGAATAGACCGAAAGCTCCCCTTTTCTCTATTTCATTCGAACCAAACCCCCATGGACTCCAAATCAACGTCCCGACCGTCGAACTTCAACGGTGGTTCACTCCCCGACCGCCACCTTAGGTAGCCGAGGAGACCAAACAATGCCCAAAACTCCCTCCTTTTCACTTCGAACTTTCAAAACAGAACCCTATAGGAACCTAAACCGAATCCCTAATCGTCTCTCATATCTCCAACTTCCTCCCCGATGATTTGACTCTGGCGAAACCTTCTAAGACCAAAGGTAAATCAAATCGAACCACCTTTTTTTTACTCCAGTTTTTTGGTTTTTTTTTTAAGGTAAGGAAAACTTGAATATGAAAGGTAAAGATTACCTCTGAAATGTTTCTATTTTTCTGTTTTTTTGTATATGGGTTTACTCTCTTGTTACAATATTTTCAGATAAGAAAAATGAGGGAGCCCTCTGTTACAAAGGTCTCGTTCAAAAGAGAAAAAAGAAAAAGAAAAAAATAGCCCTCACATAATCTCTCTTCCCTAACCAGGGGACCCATCCCTGTTTTTTTCTTTTTGGGTTTTTGTATTTCCATTTCAATCGGAAAAAAAAATAGAACATCTCGCATATATTATGTATTTTTTGTTTTAATGTGTGGCTTTGATGAAGATGAGGAGGTCTAGTTGGCTTCTGTGTTTTTGCTGGCGAGGAGATGGGAGGCTTGCTTGGGACCACTCGTTGCATGAGTTGGTTGTTGGTGTGGAGCCTGTTGGCTTTGGGGGATTCAGTGGTCGTGGCTAATGTGGAGCAAAGGGGCCAGTTAGGATGTGAAGAGTTTGGACTGGCGGCTGAAACTCCTTCACATGTTAGGGTTGTTTGATTTTCGAAAACCCTAAAATGTTGGGTTACGAGTTGGGCTTCGATTTGGTTAATTGTATTGGGATAATGAATAAATGTTTGGATTACATTAGTTCTGGGTTATATAATTGGGTTTGGAGTAAAAACAATTTTGTGATTTAATTTGGGTTGCTGGTTTTGTTAAAAAATAACAAATGTGGACATTTGTTTAATTTGGGCTTGTATTTGGACTCTTGATACAAAATGCTTGTATTTTGGATTTTGTTTGATTTCTCTTTTTGAATGAATGCATATTTAGACAAATAAGGAATTATAACAAGCTTTCTCTTGTTGTCACAATTTGACCTTCGTATATTTCCTCTGTTAAAACTCATAGCATCGTCGACCCCAAATCAAATTAACGAACACCATCTTGAAAGAAATTCTCAACGTCCTCGCAACCCAATTAGAGTCTAAAGCTCTCATAATGCAAATATCCATGAACTAATTTCCACTCATTTCTGGTGCCATTTGAATAAATTTGATATCAATGCAAGAACATCTTCTAATTGGTATTCGATTAACCTTGATCCAATTTGAATGGTTCGGACAAAATTAGGGTATTATATATGCCCTCTTTTCTCGGTGTTGTGAAAACAAGAATGTGGAAAAGATAAATAATGGCCTAAGTTTGTTTAATCTGATTGTAGCTTCCTCTTTATGACACCAATATTCTTAAATCTTCTATTGATTTGCGCTTCCATCTTTCAATCAAATGATCTGACCCTCTGAATCTGAATGTCTTCTTGCTTGTTTTGCCTCAATCTCACAAGTGATGAATCTGCAAAATACAATCATCATTAATTAGCACCTCTAAGGATTTGTTTTTCATTTATTTTATTTTATTATTATTTCTTTCTTTTTTTCCATTTTCATTCATTTTCTCTTTTTTCATGTTTTATTTATTTTCTTTTTCGTATCAACTAAAAATTAATCTTCGATGACTAACTTCTCTACACGAGGAAATCAAAAGGTTTTGCTCCCCTTTTCTCGAAAGATTGTGGAAGTTCTCCCATATGAAATATGAATTCTTCCATAAAAGGTAAGAATGAAATTTGAACAAGTTCTTCTATATAAACTCATTCTTCTTTCAAGGTTGTTTTTCTCTTCTCTGGAAAGATCAGTTGAGCTCTCCTATAAGAACTCTCTATTCTCCCATAAAGGTCATGTTAAGGTCGAACAAGCTCCCTATATGAACTTCTTCCTACGATTGTGCTGATCCACATCCTTCTATGATAAATCTAACAAAAATGACAATGTTGATCAACATCCTTCTGTGATGGAATCGAACAAAATGTTGATGTTGATTTATCTCATTCTGTGATAGAATCAAGAAAAATGGTGAACAAGTTCTTCTCATTATGAAATTTTTCTCCCTCTCTGTATGAGTTTTTCTCATTATGACCCATTCAATTGGAAATGTTGATCCACCTCCTTCTGTGATGGATTTGAACAAAGGTTGAACAAGTTCTTCTCATTATGAACTTCTTCTCCCTCTTTGAATGAGTTTTTCTCATTATGAACCCTTCCTTTGAAAATGTCGATCCACCTTCTGTGATGGATTCCAATCTATAAAAAATAGCATATGTCAGTGTCAATTGTGTTTGAAGTACCCGAAGGTTCTTAAATCTTTGTTGAGATCCACTTCTTTCAAAAATGAAAATGTGGATTAATTCTTAGCTGAAATCTTCTTCTTCAACATGAAATTGTGAAATGAAATCTTTGCTAACTTTTGAATTCCAAGAAAGTATTCAACATTTGGATGAAAATAATAAGCGAAAATAAATTTATTTCAAGAGAAGCTATCTCAGGTGAGATAAATTTTGTTTCGAGTTAAATAATTTCAAAATTTGTGTTTCAAGGGAAACTGTCTCAAGAGAGACGAAATTGGTTTTAAGAAAAAAAATCTCAAGTTAGATAAGTCTTTGTTTCGAATGAAATAGTTTCAAAAATTGTGTTTCAAGGGAAACTATATCAAGCTAGACGGAATTGGTTTTAAGAAAAAAACAATCCCAAATGAGAAATTTTAAAAATCGATTCCTCATTTTTCCACAAATATCATATGAAAACACCATGCCCGAAGGTCTTTTAGATGGTAGAAAGACTTGTCAATTTTGGAAATAATCTACTAAGTAAGAAACTTTGAAAATCGCTTTCTTACTTTTCAAAAATTTCATTTTTGAAAAAGATTAAATGAGAAATTTTGAAAATCATATGAAAACATCTTAGTGGTCAGGTAATCATATCCCACTTCAAAGTAATGATCATTCTGTGGATTGGGCTCATTTTCTCTTGAGATTTTGCCACTCCAAACATGATTTCTTTTATTTTGAGGTTTGAATTATTATTTTCTCTTCTTGCGATCTTGACATCACAAATCTTTTCTCTTTTCTTGGCAGATCTCTAAAGAATTATGCATCTACTTATGAAGATATAAATGCAATTAAAGGTTTTTAAATGTAATGCATTTTTCTTATGCAAATGATGTTCTTATGGATGCAGAAATGTCGATTCAAATTTCTTTTAACTTCAAAATAGAGACCTCGATATTCCTTCACTTGATCGATCTTGTCTAGAGACTGATATCAACGTGGAAACTTGTCATTTCAAGTTTACATTTCCTGAAAAACAATATGATCTCCTCGTGTCATCATGTCTTATCCGTTTTTGTTTCTTAAAAGAAATGCTCTCTCATTAATTCTTATTGCGGTCAGATATGTGATCTTGATGCCTTTTTTTATCTTCAAACTCATTTACTCTATCAGAGTTGTTTCTTTAAGACTCTTCTAACAACTAAAGCATGAATGGTTTGCTTTTCAAAGTAAGCTCTTCTTGTCTCTATCTTTTCTCCTAACAATCCAAGCAATAAAGCTCATTGTTGACGTTTTCTTGATTTGTGTCTTGTTATCTCAACACGATATTAGTCTTTGGTCATGTACTAATATTGGTACTTTCATGTCTCATCCTTATTTGAGTACCAAAAAGTACAACCTTGAATGGTATCACTCTTGTATAATTCATCAAAAATCAAAACCTATCAGCCACATGAACATTGGCCTTGGTTCCTTACGAAGCTTTTGAACGTCAATGTCAACTTCAATTACGAAAAACATTTCTTATTTCCAAGGCTGTTAAGAAATTTGATTAGTATGCTTGATACAGGAAAGCCTTAAATCTTTGTTACAAGTTGAAATGTCAGAAAAATCTCAAAATAACCATGCCCCTTCTTATTAAGGCAACTATTTGCTTCTCAGTCGGTTACTAATGATGTCCAAAGAAGTTTGAACTATTTTATTCTTAAATCTTATAATATTTTAGACTTTATTGTTCCAAGGATCAGAGAATGTCTCCCTTGCCTTTGCATCATTTTTATTTGAGGTAAAATAAGCCTCATTAGCTTCTAAGATCTCCTTCACTCTCAAGAGATCATTTTGATTATTTGCCCCAGATTATAACATCTTGGAAAAATTTCTTGGATGGGGATTGAATAGCTATCCTCACGTAGTTACGTACATGAATTTAGCTCATATATCTTTCCTTGAGATACACTCTTTAACAAATGAACACGTGTGTAAAGGTTTTTGTGCTACTTTGAATTCTCTATATTTAAAAGATTAGTTCAAAGTAATACTAAGAAATCTTTTGTTTTATTATGAACTATGTTGATCTACTTATAATATGCTTAGTAAATGGAAAAAATTGGGGCTTGAAATAAGAAAATTGGAAATTTTAAAATGGCATTGTAATCATATAAATGATAAAAATCAAGAAATAAAGTAAGATGCCTCAAGCATCACTAGCATGAATGTTATTGTATCAATCAACTTGATATAATTTGGAGCACTGAGGTAAGCTTCTATCTAGAAGATCGTAAATGTTTGCCAAAATGTCTGTAGATGTGAAGCTCCTCTAAAAATATCATGCTCTCTAAACCAATCAACTGGAAATAGCCCTGAAGCATAGAGGTAAGCTTTTTTCTAAAAGACTTCAAATGTTGCCAAAATGTGAAGCTTATCCCAAAGTACTAAAATCCTGAGAGGGTTTTACTTTCCATATGCCTAATATCAAAACACATTTGAGCCACCTTTTCAGGTTTTCAACTCAAATCCTTCCTTTGGTCTCAAGATATTCTTAGCCTCCTTTTACTTTCTTTTTTCCTTCTTTTCTCTTTTTTCTTTTCTTCGAGTGTAGTACTTCATTACTCGAAATTGAGTTTATTGGATCATCAAATCATCTTCATCCATCTTTGTAAAAAATAACCCTCCTAGAAGAAGACCTTTTTGACAACATATGGTCCTTTCCCAATTAGGCATCCATTTCTCACGGAAATCTTTATGAATTGGCAAGATATTTTCAATCACTAGACCACCCTCTTGAAATTATCTTGGAAGAATTTTCTTACCATGAGCTCGCATCATCTGCTTCTAACACATCTGTTCATGGTAGATAGTCGTTAACCTCTTTTCTTTAACGAGGTTCAACTGATTATACTGAGCTTGAGCACATGCAGCTTGGTCTCATCTCTACCTTTGTCAAAACTTGAAGTAATGAAATCTCAACTATGATAAGTAAGGCAACTTTTATTCCAAAAGGTGTTTCATCTCATCAGAGTACATGCTTAAGTTTGACATGCATAAATGATGAAAAATAATTTCTTGTGACAATTATCACTATCCTCTTAGTTGACAGACTAACAAGGAACTTTCACATGCTTTCAGCACTTATATTTTCCTCTCCATGGCTGCTCTCAATCCTAAGGCACAAGCTTCATATTTTGCCATATTATTGATACAAAAGAACTCCAATCTACTTGTAAAAGGATAGTAGACATTTTCTGGAGAGATTAACATGTCGAAATTCCTCGTCCCAAAGCATTGGATGCCCCGTCAAAATAAAGCTTCTAGGATTTGTCATCTTATTCCAATTTCTTCTTTTTCCATCAGCCTTAATAATTTGTTAGAAACAACACATTCTACCTCATTTTCGCACTCGTAGATTTCTACTAAATACAGGACACTCAAAATTTATCTCATGATTAAAATTCAAAAACATTCATGCTATTAATGATTAGGACACCTGCAAAGAAAATTTGGAACGAATATATACA